ATATATATATATATATATATATATATATATATATATATATATATATATATAAAAATAACGTACCTGTGGGTGTTGCTTTGTTGTTCCCTACCCCATTTAGTTTATATCTGCTGTCTACTACCCATCTAAAATCTAGGTGTTACGATTGGCTCATGGAGTTTTCAGGAGCGCACCAATGAGGAAAAAAATGGGGGTTAAGCACTCCAGTGATGACTCACTAGACTGGGGGGGAATCCTTCATCTCTTGTGGCTGCTCTTTGTCTTTTGTGTGACACTTGTATGTGTATAAACTGTTCTCTGGTTGGTTGAGTTGTACATCTGCCCTGAACATACTAAACTCAACTACATAAATCTACTAAGAGGGAAGAAAAAGTAAAGTGACTAATCCTACATGCACGTAGATGATTCTCTGTTAAATCATTAGGTAAGAAGCGGGTGCTACCCTCTGTATGTTTTCTCCAGTGAGTGTAGATGTAGTGAGCACGTGTGATGCCGATGTGTTTTTATTTTTATTTTATTTTTTTCAGTTTTCTCAGTTATTCAGAGGTGGAGAGAGTTTAGTTAGTGTGTTTAATTTGTTATTTTCTTGGATTTGGCACTGCTTATTATTCTTCCCTCTATCAGGTCTGTTTTAATTTGCTTATTCTTTTCTCTTACATTTATTGTACACATTTGTAATATACAGTGTATCCGAAAAGAATTCGCAGTGCTTTACTTTTTCCACATTTTTTATGTTATAGCCTAATTCCAAAATGGATTATATTAATTTGTTTCCTCAAAACTCTACACACAATATCCCATAATGACATTATGAAAAAAAAGAGTTTTTGATATTGTATCAAATTTACAACAACAACAAAAAAAAAAAAAAACCTGAACAATCACATGTACAGAAGTATTCACAGCCTTTTCTCAATACTTTGTTGATGCAGCTTTGGCAGCAATTACAACCTAAAATCTTTTTGAATATGATGCCAACAACTTGGCACAACTGTCTTTAGGAGTTTTTGCCCATTCCTTTTTTTCAGTACCTTTCAAGTTCTATCAGGTTGGATGGGAAGTGGCGGTGTACAGCCATTTTCAGATCTCTCCAGAGGTGTTCAATAGGATTTAGTTCTGGGCTCTGGCTGGGCCGCTGGAATTTTGTTTCTTATGGCAATAAATGCCTTTTGGCAAATTCCAGTTGGGGAGCGGCGTCCGTCTGGCCATCTCTACCATACAGCCTGATTGGTGGATTGCTGCACAGATGGTTGTCCTTCTGTGAGGTTCTCCTCTCTCCACAGAACAACACTAGAGCTCAAAGTGAACATCGGGTTATTGATCACCTCCCAGACTAAGGCCCTTCTCCCTTGATCACTCAGCTTAGTTGGCCGGCCAGCTCTGGGAAGAGTCCTGGTGGTTAAACATCTTCCACTTACAGATGATGGAGGCCACTGTGTTTAATGGAACTTTTAGAGCAGCAGAAATTTTCTGTAACCATCCCCAGCCTTGTGCCTCGAGACAACCCTGTCTCGGAGGTCCACAGACAATTCCTTTGTCTTCATGCTTGGTTTGTGCTTTGACATGCACTGTCAACCCTGGGACCTTATATAGACAGATGCCTTTTTAAATCATGTCCAATCAACTGAACTTACCACAGGTGAACTCCAATTAAGCTGCTGAAACATTTCAAGAATGATCAGCGGAAACAGATTATACCTGAGCTCAATTCAGAGTTCATGGCAAAGGCTGTGAATACTGATGTACATGTGATTTCTCAGGGTTTTTATTTTTAATAGATTTCAAAAAATCCTTTTTTCACCTTATCATTATGGGGAATTGTGTGCAAAATTGAGGAAATAAATGAATTTAATCCACTTTGCAATAAGGCTGTAACATAAAAAAATTTGAAAAAGTGAAGCGCTATGAAAACTTACAAGATGCACTGTACTTTGGTGCTTGAATTTTTTTTTTTCTCTTGAATATTGTAAATAAAACAAACCACTTCTTGTCAAAAAGCAATTCAGCTTAATTGTAGAACATTTCCTCTTAAAATTTAATTGACTAAAAGGTAATGAGATTTTTTGTTGAATAACAAAACTTCATTGTGGGGAGAAAAAAAAAACATGACAAAGACTGCTTTTGGCATTGAAGCGAAATAAAATTTGGACATGACATGAGGCCTAGAATACACTGACTTTAATAAAGCATCTGCTCACAAATACCCAGAAGCTCCTAGTATGGTGTTGACCTTTTCTGAACATGCAGAAAATCCGAAGGAGGACACAGCGTTCCCCAAACATCTACTTCTTTGCCTTCCTCTCGCAGTTATTGCTTCGTCACCTCACCAGCAGTTCAGTTAAATTCAAGGACAAAGGGACAAAAGTTATCAACTGGAAAGCATAAGCTTAAGCAGTCTGAATTTAAGAATATCTTAAAGCACCAAAAAAAAAAGACAATAAAGATCCTTGTATCAATTTTCTCCTCAGATTAAATTGTCAACAGAGCCCAGAATCAGTAAATACTATTAAGCCAGATAAAAGGAGAAGAAAAACACTACTAATGGCTTTTCTGACAGCATCAAAGATAAAACTAATCGCTTGGGGGATAAGGCTAATTTAAGGAAGCTTTTTTCCTTCAAATTAGCGTTTTATTGTTGGACAAAACAGATGGAAAGTAGTTGAAATGCTTAAAAGCCTCTTGTAAGAGCTCAAAGCTTGAGGTTTTGTGCTCAATCACCTCGTGTTCACAAGAACCAAATCGAACAGAGGCAGACAGGAGCTCGTCCATCTCATCCCGAGGTGTTTATTGCACCTAACAGCCACCTTCTCATCTCTCAAGGATGTAATCATTCTTTGTGTTGCGATTCCCTTGAGTTGTTATACTGTACACTACTAGACGCAGACTGACGGGTAATTAGAGAGACATACGACATCTTGTGGCAGGATGAGGAAGCGCAGGGAAAAAATTAAAGAGTTTGATGCTTTATTATAAATAATAATAATAAAAATAATAATAATAATAATAATTCACCTCTAAAGTATATATATATATATATATATATATATATATATATATATATATATATGTATATAAAAATCACAATTTTCATGACTTTCCCAGTTATGAGAAAAGCTCATTTTTTAGATGTTTATAAAATACTAAAACAATATTTTGAAACATTAAACTAATTATCTATTTTTTACTTGAACGTTTTGTATAATATTATTTATTCCTGTGATGCAAATATTAATTTTCAGCATCATTACTCAAGTCCTCAATGATCTTTCAGAAAACAAATTTAACAATCAAGTTGCTGATTGGCTGCTGAATCTTTTTAATATTAATGACGTTTTTGGTTTGTTTTTGTGAAAATGAATGTTTTCTTTTTTCTATACAGACAGCATTTACTTTTGTAACATTATCAGTAATTTTACAGTCAATTCTGAACACTTTATTGTCCAACTGTAAAGGGTGTACAATATAAAACGTATTACTTGATTACAGTACTTAAGTCTTACCATGGGGATTTGTACTTGACGAATGCAATTTAAACTGACTAATTTGACTTTTTTTTAACCTAATTACTTTTTCATTTATTTTATTTTGTTCCATTTTGGACGTAGTAAATAATAAAATGTCTCAAATGTGGACATTTTATCAGGTAACTTCTGTGAGATATTGCATTTCAATTATATGCTCAAGAAATATGGTTTTTGACTTGTGAAATTATAAGATTTCACTTTTTTTTCCTTTTTAAACAAACCTGTTTGTGAATGACTTTTTTTTTTTTTTTTTGCTATTTATTTCACTTTGCCCTAAGACAGGGGTGTCCAAACTGGCTGAGGGCCAGATGCAAAAAAACAAACGTTGTCGCGGGCCAAATTTTACATACATCACACAGACACGCATATATATATATATATATATAT